CATGCGGGCGCAGCCACTGGGGCCTTCGGTGGAGCTCCCTATGGGGCCACGAAACGTGTGAGGGGTGTCCGCATGCGGGCGCAGCCACTGGGGGTGGTGGACGACCCAGAATGGGGGGTGGAACCGCATGCGGGCGCAGCCACTGGGGCCTTCGGTGGAGCTCCCTATGGGGCCACGAAACGTGTGAGGGGTGTGCCAGAATGGGGGGTGGAACCGCATGCGGGCGCAGCCACTGGGGCCTTCGGTGGAGCTCCCTATGGGGCCACGAAACGTGTGAGGGGTGTGCCAGAATGGGGGGTGGAACCGCATGCGGGCGCAGCCACTGGGGCCTTCGGTGGAGCTCCCTATGGGGCCACGAAGCGTGTGAGGGGTGTGCCAAAATGGGTGTGGGAGGGGGAGGAGGGGGGAGGAAGGGGAGGAGGAGGAAGGAGGAGGAGGAAGGAACGCGGGGCGACGCCTCTTCAAAACGAGGACCCAACACCACAGGATGGTTGGGAATTATGCTACCGAGGAACCCCACATACTTCTTTTATCTCTCTTGCGTTTGTATACTAAACACTTGCGCACCCCCCTACGGTGTCGAGAAAGCGCCACGCCTGCTATGCCCTGCACAACTAAAGCGGATAGGGGGACCACCACCTGCGAACCCCCTATGGTGTCGAGAAGGTGCCACGCCTGCTAGGCCATGCACAACTAAGGCGGATAGGGAGGCCACCCCCTGCTAACCCCCTACGGTGTCGAGAACATGCAGCGCCTGCTATGCCCTGCGCAGCTAAGGCGGATAGGGAGACCACCCCCTGCTAACCCCCTACGGTGTCGAGAAAGTGCCACGCCTGCTATATGCCCTGCACAACTAAGGCGGATAGGGAGACCACCACCTGCTAACCCCCTACGGTGTCGAAACAATGCCACGCCTGCTATGCCCTGCGCAACTAAGACGGATAGGGAGACCACCCCCTGCGCACCCCCTATGGTGCAGAGAAAGTGCCACGCCTGCTATGCCCTGCACAACGAAGGCGGATACGGAGACCACCCCCTGCCCACCCCCTACGGTGACGAGAAAAATGCAACGCCTGCTATATGCCCTGCATAACTAAGGCGGCTCGGGAGACCACCCCCTGCTAACCCCCTACGGTGTCGAGAACGTGCCACGCCTGCTATGCCCTGCGCAACTAAGGCGGATAGGGAGACCACCCCCTGCTAACCCCCTACGGTGTAGAGAAACTGCCACGCCTGCTATGCCCTGCGCAACTAAGACGGATAGGGAGACCACCCCCTGCCAACCCCCTACGGTGTCGAGAAAGTGCCACGCCTGCTATGCCCTGCACAACTAAGGCGGATAGGGAGACCACTCCCTGCGCACCCCCTATGGTGCAGAGAAAGTGCCACGCCTGCTATGCCCTGCACAACTAAGGTGGATAGGGAGACCACCCCCTGCTAACCCCCTACGGTGTCGAGAAAGTGCCACGCCTGCTATACCCTGCACAACTATGGCGGATAGGGAGACCACACCCTGCGCACCCCCTATGGTGTAGAGAAAAAGTGCCACGCCTGCTATGTCGTGCACAACTAAGGCGGATAGGGAGACCACCCCCTGCAAAACCCCTACGGTGTCGAGAAAGTGCCACGCCTGCTATGTGCCCTGCACAACTAAGGCGGATAGGGAGACCACCCCTGCTAACCCCCTACGGTGTCGAGAAAGTGCCACGCCTGCTATGCCCTGCGCAACTAAGGCGGATAGGGAGACCACCCCCTGCTAACCCCCTACGGTGTCGAGAAAGTGCCACGCCTGCTATGCCCTGCGCAACTAAGGCGGATAGTGAGACCACCCCCTGCGCACCCCTTAAGGTGCGAGAAAGTGCCACGCCTGCTATGCCCTGCACAACTAAGGCGGATAGGGAGACCACCCCCTGCTAACCCCCTACCGTGTCGAGAAAGTGCCACGCCTGCTATGCCCTGCACAACTAAGGCGGACAGGGAGACCACTAAGGAGACCGCACCCTGCTAACCCCCTACGGTGTCGAGAAAGTGCCACGCCTGGTATGCCCTGCACAACTAAGGCGGATAAGGAGACCGCACCCTGCTAACCCACTACGGTGTCGAGAAAGTGCCACGCCTGCTATGCCCTGCACAACTAAGGCGGATAGGGCGACCACCCCCTGCTAACCCCCTACGGTGTCGAGAAAGTGCCACGCCTGCTATGCCCTGCACAACTAAGGCGGATAGGGAGACCACACCCTGCGCACCCCTTATGGTGCAGAGGAAGTGTCACGCCTGCTATGCCCTGCGCAACTAAGGCGGATAGGGAGACCACCCCCTGCTAACCCCCTATGGTGTCGAGAAAGTGCCACGCCTGCTATGCCCTGCACAACTATGGCGGATAGGGGACCACCCCCTGCGCACCCCCTATGGTGCAGAGAAAGTGCCACGCCTGCCATGCCCTGCACAACTAGGCGGATAGGGAGACCACCCCCTGCTAACCCCCTACGGTGTCGAGAAAGTGCCACGCCTGCTATGCCCTGCACAACTAAGGCGGATAGGGAGACCACCCCCTGCGCACCCCTTATGGTGCAGAGAAAGTGCCACGCCTGCTATGCCCTGCACAACTAAGGCGGATAGGGAGACCACCCCCTGCTAACCCCCTACAGTGTCGAGAAAGTGCCACGCCTGCTATGCCCTGCACAACTAAGGCGGACAGGGAGACCACTAAGGAGACCGCACCCTGCTAACCCCCTACGGTGTCGAGAAAGTGCCACGCCTGTATGCCCTGCACAACTAAGGCGGATAAGGAGACCGCACCCTGCTAACCCCTACGGTGTCGAGAAAGTGCCACGCCTGCTATGCCCTGCACAACTAAGGCGGATAGGGAGACCACCCCCTGCGCACCCCCTATGGTGCAGAGAAAGTGCCACGCCTGCTATGCCCTGCGCAACTAAGGCGGATAGGGAGACCACCCCCTGCTAACCCCCTATGGTGTCGAGAAAGTGCCACGCCTGCTATGCCCTGCACAACTATGGCGGATAGGGGGACCACCCCCTGCGCACCCCCTATGGTGCAGAGAAAGTGCCACGCCTGCCATGCCCTGCACAACTAAGGCGGATAGGGAGACCACCCCCTGCTAACCCCCTACGGTGTCGAGAAAGTGCCACGCCTGGTATGCCCTGCACAACTAAGGCGGATAGGGAGACCACCCCCTGCGCACCCCTTATGGTGCAGAGAAAGTGCCACGCCTGCTATGCCCTGCACAACTAAGGCGGATAGGGAGACCACCCCCTGCTAACACCCTATGGTGTCGAGAAAGTGCCACGCCTGGTATGCCCTGCACAACTATGGCGGATAGGGAGACCACCCCCTGCGCACCCCCTATGGGTGTCGAGAAAGTGCCACGCCTGGTATGCCCTGCACAACTAAGGCGGATAGGGAGACCACCCCCTGCGCACCCCTTATGGTGCAGAGAAAGTGCCACGCCTGCCGTGCCCTGCGAGCCTGCAACGCATGGAGACCGCACTCCCTGCGCACCCCCTCTGGTGTCCAGGAAGTGTCGCGCCTGCCACGCCCTGCGAGCCTGCAACGCATAGAGACCGCACTCCCTGCGCACTCCCTGTAGCGACGAGAAAGTGCAACGCCTGCCGTGCCCTGCGAGCCTGCACCGCATGGAAACCGCACTCCCTGCGCACCTCCTGTGGTGTCGAAAAAGTTGTGGTGTGGTGTGGTGTGGTGTGGTGTGGTATGGTATGGCGCGGGGTGGTGTGATGTGATGATGTAATGCGGAAGAGAGGGAGGTGTGAACGCGGGTGTGACGCGGGTGTAGAGAAGGGGAGGTGGGTGAGAAACGCGGGTGTGACGCGGTTGTAGAGAAAATCAGAACCCCACTTAGAATGTGGGGAATGAGCATCGACGATTTTGGCCTCTTCGGGCCGACCCGGGACGCCTCTCGGACCTCTTGGGGTCTCTTGGAGGCCGCCTGGGAGCCTCGAGAGCCGTCGGAAGGCTGACTTGAGCTGCTTGGGAGCGTCTTGGACCATCCTTTCGCATTCTGGGGGCTCCTGGGAGGCGTCTTGGGCCCTCCTAGGGCGCTGTGGAGGCTCCCCGGAAAGGCCAGGGGAGCGGTACTGGGAGCGTCCCCGAGATGTCACGGGGAGGTGTGGGACCTGGGGCTGGGGGGGGGGGCGGTATTTACTTATATATTATTTATTTATCTTTTAATCTATTCATATGTTATATATATATATATATATATATCTATATATATATATAATATATATATATATATATATATATATATATATATAAAAATACATCTTCATATAGCTATAAGATTAGGTGGGTTAATACGTATGCATATATCCAGCGGGGGGAGATCGGGAGAAATAGCAAAGAACAAGCAAACATGGGTATGGGCGGGGAAGAGGGAGAAAAGCGGGGAAGTCGTGGAGGACAGGGAACGGAAACGGAGCCCATGGGGGCCTTCGGGCCCCGCGCACCTCGGGGAGCCGGGCGAGGTAGGGGCAGAGAAGCCCCCAGAGCGCATCCCGAGGCTCCAGGGACCACCTGCGGCCTCCTCCTCCTCCTCCTCCTCCTCCTCCTCCTCCGGGTAGGCTGGCCTGAGTGTGAAAAGTCCCTCTGGCCTGTGTGGGCCTCCCGTATGCCTCCTCTTCGTCCTCCTCCTCCTCCTCCTCCTCCCCTTACCCTTGCTCCCCCTCTCCACCCTAACTAGTGAAGAACAGCAGGGTGCCTTTGCCCAGGCTCGCCCAGCCGGCGCGGAACGCTAGCGAAGTCTGATCCGGCCCCCAGACCGGAGGGGCGGGGGTCTAACCTTCTGCTCCTCCCCCCCCCTCCTCCTCTTCTTCCAAGGGAAACTGGGACACACAAATAAATACACACAAATAAAAAGATGTCCCATATTATCCTATATTTTCTGGGTTTTTGTCTTCCCCACCACTTCCCATATTTTCCTATATTTTCCTGGGGATCGACGATTAATTGTGTCTGTGTGTTTTTTCCCCTCCTGATTCTTCCTCCTCCTGGTCGCCCAAAGCGAGTGCCCCTTTTGGAGCAGGGCGAGCTCCGCACCGCCGCCGGCGAGCTACCGCACGCGGCGGCGGGCCCCGCAGGTGACGTGCGGGAACAGCGCCTCGCTTGCCTCCCTCACCAGCCATTCCACGGGGTCCTCCGCGCTGCCCGAGGTTCGGGTCGGGCAAAAGGGGGGGATAGCAAAGGGGGGGTTTGAGAATCAGCTCACGTAGCTGATTTTCCCGGCGCCTCCCGGCGCCGGAGGCGGCCATGTATCGAGGAATGGGCACCTCCGTGGGGCCGAAACCAGCTGCATGCAGCAGATTTCGTAACCCCCCCTTTCCCAATCCCCCCCTTTCGCCCGGCCCGACATTCCACGGGGTCCTCCGCGCTGCCCGAGGTGTCGCCGGGCGGCCACGAGGTGCGGCCACCGCCGGGAGCCTCGTGGTGCCGTTCGGACGGGCCGACGCGGGCGGCGTCGCCGGCGCAGTCACTCGCGCCGAGGTGGCTTCTGCGGCCGCTGTCCAGGTCGTGCGAGCTCTGGGGGCTCCCGCCGTCGGCGAAGTCTTCGCCGGCGAGCCGCAACGGCCCCTGCAGCGGCGATCCTGGAAGCCTCGCCTCGCTCGGAAGCGTCAGCGGCTCCTGCAAGTAGCCTTGGACTCCGGCCTGCACTTTGGCGATCGCCTCCCAACCAACGGCCGCCACGACGCTCGCGCGCTCGCGGAGCCAAATGCTGGTGTCGCCCTCGACGTCCAACCACGTCACAACGCCCTTGAGATCCTCCTCCTCCGCGCCCGAGTCGCTCTCGAGGTCCGCGGCGCCTCGCTCGATGCCCGCCTCCACGCCAAAATCGCCCTCGAGGTCCGACTGCGCGCCACCGTCGCCAACGTCGCTGGCCTCCACGGCGGCATCTCGCTCGAGGCCTGCCTCATCGCCGGCGCCGTCTACATGATTCGCCTCCGCGTGAGCGTCGCCGCCAACGTGGTCCGCCTCCGCGCGGGCGTCGTCGTCGAGGCCCGCCTCCGCCGCCACTGCTGCGGCGGCGACAGTGGTGGCGACCACCGTGGCGTCCGCTGCGGCGGTGGCGGTCAGTGCAGCGGCCTCGGCTCTCCCTGGGCTCTGCGAGCTGCTGGCAACGTGGGCACCCTCGGCGACCTCCGCGCGGGGCTCCGGCGCGCGCCGCGCCGTCACGCTGGCGGCGGAGTCGGCCGCGACAGCGGCGCCGCGCGGCGCGCCCTCGGCGGCCGCGGCGGCGTCGCAGCCCACGGCGCGCTCCTCCGCCGCGCCCTCGGCGGTCGCGCCAGCGGGGCATCGCGGCGCGCCCTCGGCGGCGTCTCGTGGCGCGCCGCTGGAGCCAGCTGCGCCCGTGGCGTGCTTCGGGAGGCCCTCGGCGGCCTCGCCGGCGGTGCTGCCGTCCGAGAAGCGCCTGCGCCGCCCTGGCGCGGCGTCTGCGACGCTCCCAGCGGGCGCCGTGGGCGCCGACGCCCCCATGGCGGCGCCGTCGGTGCTGGCGCCGGCGCTGACGGTAAAGCCGACGGCGGCGGCGCCGCTGGCGTCGGCTCCACGCGGCGTCGTCGGCGCGGCGGCGGCGGCGTTGACGGTGGAGCCGACGGCGGCGGCGTCAGCGGGATGGCTGGGCCGCCGCGGTGCGTGAGCGCGGTGGGGCGCGGCGTTCTGCCTGCCCGAGCGTGCCAGGACCGCGGCCGCTGGGCCGCTGCCCCGATCGGGGTCGGCTGCGCTCGGGGAGGAGGGCGTCGCCACGGGCGCCATGCCGCCCGGCGCGGCCGCGCCGCCCAGAGGCCCGGCGAGGCCTCCCTCCGCTCCTGCAGGCGCGGCGGCCGCGGCCTTCTCAGCGGCTGCCCCGCACGCCGCAGCAGGCGTGGCCAGGGCGGGCCCGGCTGGGCCGCCGCCTCCCGCGAACTGGCGCATGACCTCCCAGTGTGGCCGCTCGGCCAGCGCGCCGCCGATCGCGGGGTCGCACCACGGGCCGACGTCCCGCGCCAGGCAGCCGTCGCCGCAGCGGCAGCGGCCGCCCAGGAACTCGGGCAGGTCCTCTGGGGCGATGAGCTCTAACAAGCGCGACTCGTGACCCGAACGGAAGACCTCCAGCCTAGCCAGCGTGCTGGCGCTCAGTAGGGGCCGGATTGCGGCAAAGATCCCGGAGAAAGCGGCGGGCGCGTTGACGATCACTGTCCTGTCGGAGATCTCCGGGAAGTCCGCCCCCTGCTCGGCGATGATGGCCCTCATGGTCTGCAAGGCCTGCCTGTTGGAGAGCAGGCCGAACCCGAGGCCCTTGAGGTCCAGGATGGTCACGCTGGTCTGCACCAGGCTCCCCTTTGCCAGCGAGCAGGCGGGCAAGCGGAACGTCGCCTGGCGCTCCGACTCGTGGGCGAAGTACTGCGTGATGCGCGCGGGCGGGACCTCCCGCAGCAGAGCGCCGACATCCAGCTGTCCCAGCCTCTCTATGTACACGGGCCGCCCGAGGCGGTCCACCTTGTGGAAGCCGTGGGGGTAGGACCGCTTCAGGGCCGGCAGCTCGGGGAATATGGCCTCCGCGGGGCCTGGACCGTACCAGCAGCCCTCCGTGGGCAGGTCCAGGCCTCGCCTCTCCCTGTACGCCAGGTGCCGCTCGAGCATCTCGGCGCAGCCCTCGACCTCGAACTGCTTGGCGCGCAAGAACCTGAGGGACAACGATAATGGGGGATAGGCTTAGGGGGATGCATCGACCTGGAATCGGCAACACGTCGTCGATAGATCGGCGATCGGCCCCCGATAGTGAATCCGCACCTTCCTGGGCGGGGTGGGGCTATCGGGTCCCTATCGGCGATCAATGGGCGATTGGGGGTCGATGCATTCCCCTCTATGTCTATCCTTAGGTCGGGCATGTCCCTCTACAGGCGGATGTTGGACGAAAAATCGAACATATCTGAACAACATTCAAAAATGGTCACGAATATTCAAACATCGTCCCCAGACTATTTTTTGACTGTTTTTGAATGTTCCTCCTGTAGAGGAACAAGCCCGACTTAACCCAATCCCGCCCCTATCGCTGCCCCTGAGAACCGCAGCACCAGCGCGTCCGTGAACCGGGGGTGGTCCAGCCGCGGGGCGAGGCGCGCCCGCAGGCCGCGGAGGGCCGCGCGCTGCCTCCGCGAGAGCTGCCCAGCAAAGCCCTCGCCCTCAACCTCGTCCTCGTCCTCGCCGCTTGCGTCGTCGAGGCTGGAACTCTCGCCAGCCATCGCGGCGCCCGCGGCGGCGGGGCGGAGCTGCGGCTGGCCGCTCCGCAGGTGCCCTTGAGCCAAAACGGCTTCGGAATCCTCCTTCTCCTCCTCCTCCTTCCTCTCCCCCTCCTCCTCCCTCCTCTTGGCTCGAAGGATGGGTGGCCGATTCTTTCCACACGGAGGCCCCGCCCACACTGCGGGCCCATTCGGGGGCGCGTCCTGCGACAGGGGGGGGGGCACCTCGCACAGTGAAAGCGAACGCCCGCAGGGACTATATCGAGAAGGGGCCCTGGGACGGGAGGGTGTGCTGCAGCAGCGGTGGCACATCTTGGGCTTGGCCTGGGCTCTCCTCCTCCTCCTCCTCCTCCTCCTCCACATCCCCCCACCCTGCCCAGAGCTGCTCGATATGAACACTACTCTCCTCTCGCCCCCGAGGACGTGCTGCCAGTAGCGCCCAAGACCCCCCCGCTCCGCGCATTGTACCTTACAGACAAGATTGGTGCGACTTGGGTTTCTCATTTGCTTTTCAATCCGAACGTTTTCGGTTCTTCCGAAATTGCACCCCCGCTGCAGCATGGGCTCGTGTTCAGATCGGCGCTTTGCCCTCGTCGTTCACAGTGGCTCTCTCGTCCAAGCGCGGGCCACTGATCCGAATCCGAGTTCTTCCTCATCGTTGTCTCCCCGCTCCTTTCCCTTCCTCCGCCTTCCCCTGGTCCTCCTCTTCCTCCCGCCCCTCCCACTCTTGCTAATGCTCCTGCTGCTGCTGTTTCTCTTTGTCCAGCTCTTTCCTCATCCTCCGCTTCCCCCCGCTCGTCATCCAGCTCATCCGCCACCTCTTCCCCCAATGTGCACAGATCCCCTGTCTCTGGTTGCGCATATCACGGTTTGTCCTTTTTGTTGTTCCAGGTCCGCTGTCACCCGCCGAAGGATAGAGACACAATGAGCGCCATGGGGAGGACGGAATGGATGGGAGTGGTGTGATAGAAGATATGCCGCGAGGGCATCTGGCGTGTCCTTTCCCCTCTCTCTCTCTCTCTCCTCCTCCTCCTCCTCCTCCTCCTCCTCCTCTTCCTCCTCCCCAGGAGACTCGAAAGGTCTATGAGGTGTCTCGTTAGGGCATGCGCATACGTATGCTCAACGATGGACGGTAAATCGGAGGTGAGGGGGTGAGATCGAAGTGGAACGGAGAGCCCCCCTATACGGGAAATCGATTTCGGTTTCGTGTTCGTGCGTGCCGTGCGGGCGAGGCGAAGCTGCGTGGGCGGGCGAGAGAAAGTCTCCTGTGGCTGAGGCGCGGCCGGACCAAATGTTTCCCTTCCGGGCGGCCGGGGGCCCGCGGTGTCCCGCCGGTGTTCCGCTGGTGTCCCGTGTGGCTGAGGCGCGGCCGGACCAAATGACTCCCTTCCGGGCGGCCGGGGGCCCGCGGTGTCCCGCCGGTGTCCCGTCGGTGCCCCGTCGGTGTCCCGATAATGATGATGTTGATGATGATCATGATGGTTGTGTTGATGGTGATGATGATGACGATGATGGTGTCCTGGTGATGATGATGATGTTGATGATGGTGTGATGAGATGACGATGATGTTGATGTTCTGCCCGTTGTTGTTGATGATGATGTTGGTAGTGCTGATGCTGCTGATGATGATTATGGTATCCCGATGATGATGATTATGACGGTGGTGATGATGATGGTGATGGTGATGGTGTACCGATGATGATATTGATGATGATGTTGGTGATGATGATGATGCTGCTGATGATGATGGTGTCCCGGTGATCTTGATGATGCTGTTGATGATGATGATAATGAGCTGATGATGATGATGGTGTCCCGATGTTGTTGATGATGTTGACGATGACAACGATGGTGACCATGATGGTGTCCCGATGATGATGATGATGCTGATGGTGATGATGACGATGGCTGTGTCCCGCTGGTGATGTTGATGATGTTGTTGATGATGATGAGATGACGATGATGTTGATGTTTCTGCCCGTTGTTGTTGATGATGATGTTGGTAATGATGATGCTGCTGATGATGATTATGGTATCCCGATGATGATGATTATGACGGTGGTGATGATGATGGTGATGGTGATGGTGTACCGATGATGATATTGATGATGATGTTGGTGACGATGATGCTGCTGATGATGATGGTGTCCCGATTATGTTGATGATGCTGTTGATTATGATGATGATGATTAAATGATGATGATGGTGTTCCGATGTTGTTGATGATGTTGACGATGACAATGATGGTGACCATGATGGTGTCCCGATGATGATGATGCTGATGGTGATGATGACGAAGGCTGTGTGCCGATGATGATGATGATGATGCTGATGATGATGATGATGATGATGATGATGATGATGATGTTGCTGACTATGATGAGATGATGATGTGGATGATGATGATGTCCTGATGATGATGGCGTTGATGATGATAATGATGACGATGATGATGACGACAGTGTCCCGATGACGATGAACATGATGGTGTTGGTGATGATGATGATGATGATGATGATGATGATGATGATGATGATGATGATGATGATGACGTTGAATGTTAGATCGATTGTGATATCGGTAGTGAGATCGATAGTGAGACCGAATGTGAGATCGATTGTGAGATCGATAATCAGATCAATAGTGAGACCGAGCGAATGAGATATATCGAGTGAGATCGATTGTGAGATCGATCGAGTGAGATCGATCGAGCGAGACCGATAGTGAGATGGTTAGTGAGACCGATCGAGTGAGACGCTGCATCCTCCCCCCCCGAACCTCCTTATCACCCGAAGGGTGGTCGTATAGGTATCTAGTGATGCTGTGGCACGTCGTTTCTCGAAACCCTAGGGCCATACATCCAACTACGCGTTGACACGTGTTACCCGCGAACACGTAGCATGCATGATAACGAAACGCAAGATGATGGGCTTGCAGCGGACGAAAGTCATGGCAATTGTTCCCAACCCTCACGTGTTGGGTTCTCGTTTCGAATTAGAGCATTGCCTGCAGAACCTCTTCCCGCCCACTCTCCATCCTCCTGCCTTCTGCATCACTCTTTATTCCCACTCCTCCTGTGTGTAGGGTTCTCGTTTTGCGTGTAGCGCTGGGTCTCCATCCTCCTCCTCCTCCTCCTCCTCCCCTCACCTCCTGCATCCTGCCTCCTCCTCCCTTCTCCTCCTGCCTCCTGCCTCCTTGGCTCCCTTCATCGTGCCTTTCCCGCTGGGAGGCTTCGAACTGCGCAATTGTCGCCGATTTCGTAGATTCCCGAGAGGAATGGCGGAGGTGAGGACAGCGCAGATCATTTGGGACCTCGCGGCTCCCTTGGGGGCTGCGATCTGTGCAGCTGTCGCCATTTTCGTTGGCTCCTGGGAGGTACGGCGAAGATGCGGGCAGCGCAGATCCACGTGAGACTTCCCGGCTCCCTTGGGGACTGCGGACAGCGCAACTGTCGCCCCTTTCACGGGCTCCTGAAGGCACGGCAGAGGTGAGGGCAACGCATATGAGTTGGGACCTCGCGGCTCCCTCGGGATCTGCGAGCAATGAAACTGTCGCCACTTTCGTGGGAGGCACGGCGGAGGTGAGGGCAGCTCAGTCATTGTCGCAACGTTCGTGGGCTCCTGGGAAGCACTACAATTGTCAGGGCAGCGCAGATCATTTGGAACCTCGTGGCTCCCCTGAGATCTGCGAACTGCCCAACCGTCGCCATTTTCGTTGGCTCCTGGAAGGCACGGCGGAGGTGAGGGCAACGCGGGTCATGTGGGACCTCTTGTCTCCGTCGGGGGCTGCGGACTGCGCAGCTGTCGCCTCCTTCCTGGGGCTCCTGGGAGGAACGGCTTGTGTGCGGGCAACGCAGATCATTTGGAACCTCGCGGCTCCCTCGGGGTCTGCGAACTGCGCGACTGTCGTAGCATCCGTGGGCTCCTGCAAGGCAAGAAGCAGTGCAGGGCAATGCGGATCATTTGGGACCTCCCCGCTCTTTTGGAGCCTGCGAGCTGTTCGACTGTCGCAACTTTCGTGGGCTCCTGGGAGGCACGCCGGGGTGCAGGGCAGCGCAGATCGTGCATACCTGGCGATGTGTTCTTGCGTATGGAGCGTTCATACAAATCGTCGCTTCGCGTGGAGAAGGGTGTGGGTACGTCTCGGGTATGTGCTTCTTTCGTTTGCCCCTGGTCGCGTCGGAGGCATTTTCATGCAACTGCCGTATAAGTCCAACCACGACAAACGCGTGCAGATGCGTGCTGCGGAGCGTTGAATTGCTGCGGGCGCATGGCAAGCGCTGCACAATTGCAACACGCTGCTGAACACTTAGATTCCAACGCCATAGAACCTTGCCCACAGGAGCAGGCGCATCGTGTAACGAGGTGCAAATCAGGGCCAACGCGAGTATGTCAGGCACCAAGCGATGGGGGAACTGCCACAAGATCGATGTCAGGGGATACATGGGCCTGCGCATGCACGCAGCCCCGTGGCAGCACGGCTGCGCGCACGTGTGCTATCTGCGCTCACATGTAGCGTATCGTATGCGTGCGCGTGCACTTTACGTGGGCATTCCCAAACACACGTGTGTGCACTGCTGGCTATTGCCTGTGCGTGCGCGTGCCAACGTTAATTGAGAAGACCTTCTTGATGGTATGGGGGTGGGCTAGGTGGGTGGGCAACTGGAGCAAGGACTGGTAAGACATGCGCCCGAGCTTGCGAATCGCTTGTCGCACGGCAACGTCGGATTGCAAATGCAAGTCGGAGGCCATCAGCGCGCACGCCTCCCAGACCTCCAGACCCTCTCTGAGCACCCTCATTCTCGTCGCCCCCGCCGCTCCTCCGAATCCCCTCTGACAGCGGGGCGCGCCATACGAAGGATGTCCCTCGCTGTCTGCAGGCGACCTGATGCGCCTCGGGCGCGCGCGGATGATAGGATGGGCGGAGGCGGCGGATAGTGAGGCCACGAGTCGGCTTCGGCAGGGCTGCTCGAAACCAACAACCTGTGTTAGAAGAGCACAAGTCAAACATGAGACTTGCTCGAATACTGCTGCTCGCACGTGGGCACCAGCCGGTGGAGCTGTTCGGATGCTGCCTGGTCCCCGAGGGGGCACGGGCATGCCATGCTATGTAGGTGTACAGATCTAAGAGAAAACGCCTTTCACTGGCGCTTGCCTGGGGAACGTTCGGCGGCGCGTTTTGAACCCGGGGTGGGCCCCCCCCCAACACTTGGCGCCGTTGATCAAGACCAGGGGGACTCTGGCGCCGGCGCTGGCGGCCGCCAGCAGCGCCCACGGTGGGGACGCAGCGACGATGACCAGAGGCAGTCCCATTGGGAGGGGGTTCAAACCACCCCCCCGCCCCCCCCTCCTCGCGCCGGCGCCGGCGCTGGCGGCGGCCAGCAGCGCCAGCGCTGGCGCCGGCGACGGCGGGACGGCGGGGACGCATCGACACTTACCACCACTACCACCACCACCACCACTACCACCACCACCACCACCGCCTCAACCCACCACCACCAACAACAACAGCACCACACAACCACCACCACCACAGCCACCACCACCACCACGACGGCTACCACAACTCACCATCACCACCACCACCACCACAAAAATCCACCACCACTACCACCACCACCACCACAATCTACCACACCACCACCACCACCGCCACAGCCACTACCACTACCAGCAGCACAACCCACCACCACCACCACAAACCACCACACCACCGTCACCACCACCACCACCACCACCACCACCACCACCACCACCACCACCACCACGAACCACCGTCGTCCTCGTCGACGCTCCCCGCCACCGCCGCCCGCCGCCGCAGGCGCCGGCGCCGGCTCAGAAGAGGAAATCGGCGTCCCCGCCGCCGTCGCCAGCCGCTGCCGACGCAAGCGCCGGCCCGAGGAGAGGGGACGCAGAGAAGGGAAAGGGGGGGGGTCGAATTCCCCCCCCCGTCACGGGAGGGGGGGGTCGACCCCCCCCCTCCAAGCGACCACAGAACGCGCCCTTTCATATCTAAACATGTGTCTATGTGCATGCATGTGTGTATATGTGTACGTATGTGCATGTGCATATGTTTACATCTACGTGTATGCATGTGCATGTGTATACACATTGCGTACTGAACTAATAAAACGGAGTATCCCAACAACTCTACATATCTAGACATGTGTGCATACGTACATAAATATCCACATACATACATACAGACATACATACATACTCGACCCCGCTCTATTTCCAGGCCAGCATCTCGACAGTGTCTGTTCGCAAACGTTGTCCAGCCAGAGTGCGCCATCCATCCGCGTCGAGCAGAGACGCGGGAGGCCAGGACAAACAAAAGCGACCTCCCGCGACAGACGGAGCATCTCTTTACAAGGCTCAAGGGTGGGTGGGCAGGGCTGAGCCCAAAAACCCACGGAAGCGATCTAACATCGACGGCCTGGACCCGTGACGGGATGATGAAAGACATGCACGCGTAGGATATCCTCGACCCCGCTCTATTTCCAGGCCAGCATCTCGACAGTGTCTGTTCGCAAACGTTGTCCAGCCAGAGTCCACCATCCATCCGCGTCGAGCAGAGGCGCGGGGGGCCAGGACAAACAAAAGCGACCTCGAAACATCTCTCCGAAGATCTAACTGGCCCTAGGCCGCCAATCGCACCAAGGCATGGTGCGTGGATGACAATCTAGCTTCACGATCGGCTCGGTCAAGGGCGCTGGGCAAGCTGGGCGGGTATGGCTCGGCAATCTTTGTCCAGAATGCTCCGGATGGCGTCTTGCCTTCCAGAGCTCGGTGTGGACGGTGTGTGAAAGAACAAAGGCCACGCCCTGTACACTTGCAGGGGCTGATCGAGTCAAAATTTAGATGACCATATCTCACACGGGTCCTCTTCCTCCAAGCTGTGCCGAAGGCGCAGAAATCACACTCCGCAGTAGCCCCCGGCTGGCACGCAGCATGCTGGGCCCAGCGGGTCTGCCAGACCCACGAGGTGGAAGGGTTCTCGATCGCTGCAGGGACTCCGCGCCTGGCACATTCCAAAAAGAGGCTGAAAGAGAACTGCGATAACCTGTTACTGTTACCAGTCTCGACTTTGAGGGGGTCAGCCGACGACAGGTTGGGCAGGCCAAGCACGTGGGCGGCGTCCCGCAGGGGTGGTGGCCCGTTGGGCCGATTGTTGGGCCGATTCCTTGCCCGTGACCATGAGCTGCAGGGCATCCCAAGCCAGACGCCCTGCAGCAGGCCATCACGGAGCCACCCGCGCACCACGCGCTGGGCTCGCCGTCGGCTGAGGTCACCGAGGGTGGGCTCATGGCCCACGTCCAGCTCGAAGACCCGCGGCGCCAGGCGAGAAGTCATGCTCCGCCGCAGCGCCCGGGACCAGTTCCCAGAGCCACTGAAGATCTCCAGGTGCACCTTCGAGTCGGCCAGGTGGGCCCAGGAGCTCAGATTCTGCATAGGGTGCCTCCAATTGTCACGACGCAACCGAGGGCCCGAGACTGTTGGACGGGCTGCAGACGCCGCAGCTCCACTTGAACTCGACCATCCCTCGCGTACTGCATGAGGCTCCTGACGGCCTCCCACTGCCTGCGCTTCTTGATGTTGCCGAACTCCCAGGCGTTCGTCGGCCACTCGGGGCTGGCCCCCCCGTGGCGCAGTTGATGAAGATTTGGGGGGCCGAGGGCGCCCAGTCCGAGGGCGGCGCCCGCCTGCAGGAGCGCCCGCACCCAGGACCTCATGTCCAGGTAGAACAAGGGCGCGTCGACCGCGCGTCTCTCCACGAAGCAATCCAGCAGCTGGTCGACCCCGCTGAACTCCTGGTTGTCCACCTGGAGACTGGCGTCGTAGCCCTGGGTCTTCGACATCACCCTGAGCTCCGCGGGAAACAACAGGATCGAGTACATGCCCAGATGCTGTGGGCCAGCCCTGACCGACTGCACGACTGGCTGGGCGCGCAGCGACAGCGTCTCCGACGGCCCCAGGCCGAGGACGGAAGTCAGCACGGCCGTTCGGGCGGCGGCCAAGGAGTCGTTCGCCAACATCCAGTCGGCCCCCAGGTCCGTGAAGCTCGCCACCGACAGGCGCGCCTTCGTCGACCAAATCAGGAAAGCTCGGTATCGGACCTGGTAGCCCGAGGCGGTTCTGTCCTTCACGGCCCTCAGCTCGAGGAGCGACCGATGGGGCCGATCCCGCCAGCCCCCGCCCCGGGGCTGCCTCGCCTGGCGGCGGCGCGCCCGCCCCGGGCGGTCCAGCGACTCGGCTGCCAGCTCCCGCGGCCCCGCCGGGCTTGCAGCTGCCGTCGCGGGGGCTCGCCCAGACAGAGGGCCAGCAAGCCTACTCTTCGAGGCCGGGCGGGGGCCCGATGTCGGCCCAGCTCTCGCCAGCAGGCCCTCCGTGCCCGCGCGCAGGGCTGGGGCGGCCAGCGGCAGCGCCGAGGCAGCAGGGGTCGGCCGCCGCGGCCGCGTAGCCCACGCCCGGCAGGTTCCTGGAGGCGCGGTCGGCCGAGTTCCTCTCCGAGGGGGCCCAGCGCCAGAAGAATGCAGCGCCGCTAGCCAGCGAAAGGGCCGCCAGCTGCCGGCACGCGCGGCCCATCTCCCGCCGCGACGAACGTCCCTTGGTGGCGGCCAGGATGGCTCCCAAACAGTCGCCCAAGCAGAGATGGCATCGGTTGAGTGATGAGACGCGTCGAACGACATGACGAACGGCCACGACCATACCGCGGGCCTCCAAGACAACCTGATGCTCTGAACGATTCCAGCGATGGGACACCACCGGGACCCAGCCTTTCGCCCAGACGTCGCATGGGATTTCGGGGAACTCCTCCTCCTCCTCGATGTCATTGACCATCTCCTCCTCCACGTGCACCCTCTTCATCGCGGACTCCTTGAAAGGCCCTTCTACGGGCACCTCCAGGGGCTCCTTGATCGGTGCCTTCGGGTTCTCGGAGCAGTCGATGGTGAAGACCGACTCTGGGGTGAAGAGGTCGGCGGAGGTCGCCGACTTGAAGGCGTGGGGCCGATGCGACACCTCGGACTCCTGATGAGTACTGAATCTCCATCTCTCACTGTACTTGGAGAGCTCACGAGCGACTGGGGCAGACGACTTTTTCTGAGTGACTCCAACTCCCCACCACGATGAGTCCACCATCGTGAGCGTGCTGTCGAACGAGGCGCCAGCGTGCCTGAAACAGAACACGACAAGGCTGGCGCACCAACGAAGCTCGCGGAGGCAAGAGGGCCACAGCCGCGCCGTGCGGCCTCCATACTGGGCAGAAAAGGCGTACAGCGAGAAGAGAGCGGACAACAAAAGCTCTCGGCGAATCAGACCCCGCGAGGTGAAATTTGACACCACGCGCGAGATCGTCTTGCCCGAGGCATATCCCCTCCGGCACAGCTCCAGGAAGGCCAACCTCAGCTTCAAGCGGAGCGCTGGGTTCAGCCCGATGATCGGGGACTTCTCGTCGAACTGCCAGCCCAGTGCCACGGCGCCAAAACTGCACTCGACTCCGTGGGTAGGGAGTCCCGCTGCACGAAGGTTCGAGTCCACGGCCGACGCAGCGGCGGCCGCCGTCTCCAAGTCCGTAGAGAAGCTGATCGCATTGTCCACGTACTCGGTATTAATCACACCCTCGGACACCTGCGGCACAGGTCGGCGGTCCACGAAGCGGTTCACGAGGGAGAGCTGGGGCGCCTTCAGAGCCATCCCCTCCAGCATCGCCTGGCAGATCCACGGGCTGAAGGAGCAGCCCATCGGGGGGCACCTGAAGCACGGGGACACCAGGTCGGTTCCCGCCAGGCGCCGCCCGTCCGCGGTGCTCTCGAGGCCCAGCAACCCAGCGCGGCAGCCAGGTAGCGCGAAGTACCTCCTGAACTTCGGAGGCAGCAGCATCGTGTAGAACGCGTCCGCCAGGTCGACCTCCGCCACCGCGATGGGCTTGCCCCCATCCGCGTGGAGGCCGGCGAAGGTCGCACCCGACGCTAGAGCGACTTTGTCGGGGACCTGGAAGCGCAGAGATGCGTGCCTGCCGTCCAGGATGAGCCGCAGCTTGCCAGACTTCTTGTAAACGAAGAAGACACCTACGTTGCAACACTTGTCCTTGTAGAAATCGAGAAGATTCCGACGCTCGAGGATCCGCAGCAGCTGGGCGTGCAGCTTGGGGTTCCTCAGCGCCGGGTCGGTGTAGAGCTTCCGGGGGCCCTCAGACTCGTTCCGAGCACGACCCTCAGACTGGGGCAACATCATACCATGAAGCCGCTCGACTATCTTGCGGCCAGCATCCCCTCCCAGCGCGTCAAGCGGCACAGGCTTGTAACCCTCGTCTGGGAGCGAGAGACTATTGATATTATCAAAATCGAGCGGAGCGACGGTGGCGCTCTCGCCAGCATAGTCGCTGAGAGCTCGGAGCTCCTCGAGGGCTCCCGAGCCAGTCAATCCCTCTGGGGGGGGCGCCAAACCGTCGGACTGCGTCTCGAACGTTGTCCAGGGCCTGCCGCTGGCCCGCAGTGATGGGCTGAGGATGGCTTACGGGGCGCCAGGGCTGGCCAAGGTGCAGCTCGTCGAGGGTCCGAACGATCTCGCCCCCCATCGAGTTGGCGTGGCCCTTGCGGAGAACCCGACGCGCCACCGAACGTGAACAAGCGATGCCCTGCGCCTCCGAAGTTGCCCGATGCTGTTGACCAGGCCCTGGCAGTGGAAATAGATCGCGCTGTCGTCCAGCGCGATCGCCCAATGAGTACAACTCACCAGCAGGCGGCGGGCCACCGCCGCTGGGCCCCCCTCCGAAAACACGCGCACCGCCGGGGGGGAGCGGCACGCGTGGTCGTGGACTCGTCATGACTGCAAGGCCCGCTGCTCCTCGCGGGCCTTGCGAACTCGCTTCAGCACCGAGGCGTCCCTCTCCACCTCCTTCGCCGCGTGCTCGAGGAGCAAGGGGCAGATCATGCTCTCCCCATGGTCTCGAAGGAGACCCGCGAAGACGGTGCCATCGCCGATGAAACCGAAGCTCAGCAGGACCTGGCGTCCACCGCCATGTCCACGGCCTCGGTTCTTCTTCTTGTCGTTCCCCTCGTCGCCTCCGTCTCCGACAGGGGGCGCGCTGAGGTGGGGATCCCGATCCACGTTACACGTACTCATACATCAAGTGCGTCCTGAACATCTGCTCCACACCCGTCGGGTTCGGCAGGTCGAGGCCGCCCCAGCAGGAGAGGGTGTAGATGGCCCGCATATTCGCCTCGTAGTCGCCGCCTCCGTAGTCCTCGGCCGACAGCCCAAGGGCGAACCTCCAGAACCTGAGGCGGTCGAGCGGACCGCCCTGGCGTCGGTCTACGAACTGACAGCGCCAAAAACACATGCGGGGGCCAGGGAAGTGCCAGTCCACGAACGATCTCTTTGTGAAGCTGGCCACAGCATCGCGCCACTGCTTCGAGGGACTGCCGCTCGGAACCGCTGGGTTCGCCACGATGCTCCTCATCAGCCTGGCGTCGGAAGTGGCCTCCCTCCCCGCGTAGATCTGCGCGGGCTCGGAGATCGAGCGGATGGCCACCCGCGTCCCATCAGCCAGCGGCATCAAGCTGGCGGCCCCGCGGAGGTACGAGCCAGCGGGCGGGGCCACAACTGTGCCGCGCTGGCTCGCCGTGGTCGAATTGATCAGCACCCACGCCGCCGCTCCAGCCGCCGGGGCCGCGGCCCCCGGCCCAGCCGCAGCAGCGCCGTCTGGGGCCGCTCCTCCAGCGGGGGGAGGCACGGCCAGGGCGCCAGCGGGCCACACCGCTGGGGCGGCCAGCGCAGCGGCCGTTGGGGCCGCGGCGCCTGCGGCGGCTAGCCCAGCGCCCGCGCCAGGCCCAACGCCTCCTGCAGGACCGAAGGTCAGCGGGACGACGAACGGTCCGCCCGGCGCAGGCAGCCGCAAGCGCAGGCGGTCGGCGACCAGAGCGGCGGTGCCGTAGTCCAGCGCGGTCTGGTCAATCTGCTGCATCTGAGCCACCGTGCGGTTCCATCCGAACCTGTCCGAGTTGACGGCGCCGACGCTTGGCGGGAGAGCTGCACGGTCTGATGTGAACCTCACCGCAGCGATGTCTCTCCCCTGGCATGAGTAATCTTCCTCATAGATGTCATTGATCACCGCACAGATGAGCACCATCCACTCAGTGACTCTCTCCAGTCGGGTCCACACACGTCGCCCTGGAACAGACGCTGGTGCCACATTAGCTCCCCTTCGTAGTGAGCCGACGCTCCCTGGAGCATCCCATGAGGTGCTGCTCCCACTGGCCCCACGTTCTGCACGGCCAGCCTTGCGGCGGCAGCACGTCAGCCCGACACGGTTCCACGACAGAGCGCCGTGGGCCAACGCCAGGACCAGCAGGATAACCTCGTTCACCAGCACCACAGACCAGACGAAGGAAGGCTGTCTCGGCTCGCTGCTGCCCCCGCCGTTCGCCGAAGGCGTGGCGGGAGCGGGGGAGCCCCCGGGGCACGTCGGACAGCCAGGGCACGGCGGGCACCCACAGCCCGGTATGGCAGGGCAAGAGGGGACGTGGACAGGTGGCACCTCTGCAGGGTGCCGCCCAAGAGATAGGCGAACGCTCACTGCCAAATGTACTGGGCGGCAGGGAGCCAGTAATCCATACGCACTGCCTTGGTACGAATTCTTGAGCCCCAAAACCCACGGAAGCGATCTAACATCGACGGCATGGACCCGTGACGGGATGAGAAAAAACATGCACGCATAGGATATACATACATGCATACATGTATACATCCATACACACATACACAAAAGGACATGTATACACGCCGATCGGAAGAAGTGTGTAGAATCATGAAGTAGGAAGGCGGATATAGTAGATTGGGTCCAGGTCCTCCCAGATAATCACAAAACGCAGCAAAAGCATATCGATTCTTGAAGTAGGAAGGCGCTTGAGGCAGATTGGGATCTGGGAGTCCAGAAATACCTACTTTCAACGACCGGCGTGTATATGTATGCCTGTATGTATGTATGAATGAATGAATGTGTATATGTACGTGTGGGTATGTGTGTATGTACATGTGTGTATTTATGTATGTGTGTATTGATGCCTGCCTGCCTGCCTGCCTGCCTGCCTGCCTGCATGTATGTACATATATGCATATACATAAAATACAGAAATGCATATATTTACATATATACATACATATGTACGCTCCCTGGACAACTTGCCAATTTGGGTTCTATGCGGTAAAGAATTTTTGGATAGCGTGTCGCGTCGGCGGCCCCGTGACACGCTATGCCTTGCAAACGGATGGTGCGTCTCGCGGCTTCGCGGGAGGCCGGGATCAGTCCAGGACGCTGCCGCTCGGGAGCGGTGACGTGGTTAGCGTGTCGCGGCGAGGCGTGCGGCGCGACACGCTAAGTCAAAATTCCTGAGCGTATATTTCTTCTGACGCCCGGTGAGAGAGCCAGGGCCCTCCATCTTGTGGTGCTGGGTCTTCGTTTTGTAGAGACAGCGCCCCGCGTCCCTCCTCTCCTCCTCTCCTCCTCCTCCCCCTCCTCCCTCCTCCCCCTCCTTGCCTCTGCCCTCCTCGTCGGCATCGTCAACGTCATCGTCATCTTCATTGCCATCGTTATCGTCATCGTCATCACCACCATCATCACCACCACCTCCATCACCATCATCATCATCCTCCTCACCCTCTTCACCATCATCATCCTCATCCTCACCGTCATCGTCAACGTCATCGCCATCGTCATCATCATCACCATCACCACCATCATCACCCTCACTCATCAGCATCACCATCACCATTATCCACATCATCATCATCGCCCTAATCAGCATCATCATTATCATCAGCCTTATCACCACCATCATCATCACCACCAGCATCATCAACATAATCATCAGCATTATCACCATCACCATCACCACCATCACCACCATCACCATCATCATCACTATCATCATCACCACTATCACCACTATCACCACCATCACCATCACCATCGCCATCATCATCATCATCAGCATCGCAATCAGCATTATCATGATCATCAAACTCATCACCACCACCACCACCATCATCATCACCATCATCTCATCATCGCCATCGTCATGGCCATCGTCATCGTCATCGTCATCGCCATCACTATCATCAACATCATCATCATCATCATCATCATCGCAATCAGCATCACCACCACCACCATCACCATCACCATCACCACTACCACCACTATCACCATCACCATCATCATCATCATCATCATCATCATTATCATCATCACCACCATCACGATCACCATCACCATCATCATCACTATCATCATGGGCGTCATCAGCATCATCATCAGCAATATCATCAAAATCATCATCAGTAGCATCATCATCATCATCATCATCATCATCACCATCATCATCATCATCATCATCACCATCATCATCGTCACCATCGTCGTCATCGATGTCGGCACATCCCTCGCACGTCTCGTGACCCCATAAGAGCTCCACCGAAGGCCCCAGCGGCACAGTCCGCATGGCGCACCTGCACACGCTTCGGCACACCTCTCATACGTTTCGTGGCCCCATGGGAGCTCCACTGAAGGCCCCAGTGGCACAGGCCGCATTGCGTACCCGCACCCGATTCGGTGCACCCTTCACACGTTTCGTGGCCCCATGAGGGGGCTCCACTGAAGGCCCCAGCGGCACAGTCCGCATGGCGTGTCCGCACCTGATTCGGCACACCCCTCACACGTTTCGTGGCTCTATAGGGAACTCTGGTGCAGGCCCGCCCAAGTGGCAGCGCCCGCATGTCAGACCCACACCCATTTCGGCACACCCTTCGGACGCTTCGTGGCCCCATAAGGAGATCCACCGAAGGCGATACCCACAACGACGCTACCCACAACTGCACATGGTTGGGTCCTTCGCCGAGTAATTGTAAAATGCGTTTCCAACTTTACCGTTGGGGCCGCGGAGCGTGCCAGCGATACTGCAGTGGCAGGGCAGCGGCAAGCGGCGAGCTCACCAGGGCAATTGAGGGACCGACCGTCCTGGCATTCCTATGAGCCTACCTCGACATGTTCTTAGAACGCAGAACTGTTCTAATAACAAAAGCAATTTTCTTAGAGCAGAAGCCCGATGTGTTAAACCACGACAGTCTCAGCCAGAAAGGTTCTAAGAACATTTCGCGGAAACCACATCAGGTTCTTAGAACGTTCTTTGGTAGGCCATCGGCGAGCCAGGACGCTTCGCAACTGCTTGAGGCAGGGAGGCCTGTCGGGACCAGCGGCGCGAGCCGGCACAGATGGCACCTTCCCGGCGTGGTGGGGCTGGGCGGGGCCGGCCGCGAGCTGGCGGGGGGGTGTCGCAGCGCACTGGCTAGGGCTAGCTGGGGCGAGCGGCGAGCCAGCGGAGATCCCAACACACCAAAGCGGCGGGACAGCACGGCCAGGACGACCG